CTGGAGAGCACTGACATCCCCAGGGCTGTCGTGAGCAGCTGGAGCTATTTCAGAGCTCTAAAGGCTTTTGCCTGGGATATCATTTAACGTCCTTGCCAAAGCACTCCTGGCCTCAGAGGAGCCTCAGCAGAGCAGGGGAGTTCACTGGTAATGGGATGTGGGATGTGGAGGTTAAAGGGTCCATAAAGGAAATCCTACACAGGCGTGTTGCTGATACACATCTGGCCTTTCCTCTGCCTTGTGCAGGGTTTGCAGGTGTCTCTGACAGGCCCTTGAGCTATGAATTTGGTATTTCTGGAGGTAGGCAGGATATTTGTTATGGGAAACTGTCTGCCTCTGGGGCTACAGGCAGGCAGAGCTCCAACTGGGAGAGGTGCAGCCACAAAATCAAAGTGCTTAGCCCTGGCCAAGTCTTTGTGGGTCAGAGCAGGGCATCAGCCACGAGCCGTGACTTTTTCAGTGTCATGTGTGAAGGGTTGGATTTGCAATGGCATCTGCCTTTTGGGTGGTTTTCTTGGTGTCCACGCTGACACCTAACCCAAACCCAAACCCTAACCCTAACCCAAACCCTAGCATTCTGGAGAAATGGAGAAATAACACCAGCAGCTCACAGAAACCTCTTTGGAGACAAAAGATTTTGGGGCAGCCACGCCCCGGAGGGAGCTGGCACAAGGGAGCAGCGGGCAAGAACCGCAGCTGGGCAGTCCCGCCCAGAGGAATTGTTTGGGATTTGGGATTCCAGCAGTCCCCAGGGCACATGGCTGTGCCCCAGAGAAGCCTCTCCCCCAGACTGAGAACCATTCTGCCTCGTAATTAACAGGATCGTGCATTTGGAGGTTTCCCGGTGATTTTGCCAGTGGGATGCAGCACTCAGAGAGCGCTTCCCTAATAGCATTCATCTGCTTCATTTATACCTCATATCCAACAAAGCTGGTTAAGAGTAGAGGCTTTATATTCTTCTTTACAGGCCTTTCCAAATGGTCAGGGGCCACTTAACATTGACCTCTGCCAGGCTTTGCGAGGGCTTGGGGCCAGATGCTTAAAGGGAGTCACCTGTCTGTGTTTAGAGTCTCTTTTGATCTTTTATTTCACTCTATAAATTCCCAGCGGAGCTCGCTGGTAGCAAACATCTGGCACAGTTTTTCCTGCTCAGGCAAGGAATGAATCCAATATTGAAACCCCAGATTTGGTGTCTTCCTGTAGAGCTGGCCATAAAATAAGCCCGTGGGTGAGGGGGTGAATTATCTGCATCCAGGGTTGCCCTTCCAGAGATGCTACAAGTTCTTCTATTTGTTGATTTTTGTATTCACCCCTCAGGACTTCACACCTAAGGGACTCCTTTTCCTGCTAATCCATGTGGGGAGCAGCCCCAGTTGCTGGATTAGGCAAGGGAAGAAGGTAACAATGATAAGATTGCTGTTCTAGGATACCCTACACAGAGCAGAGGTTGAGGGGTGACCACACAGGGACAAAGGATCCCTCACTGCTGGGGAGCACAGCACGACCTGGAGCTCTCCCTGCTTTTCAAGGGGCAGGTTCAGCTGAGGGAAGCTGAACCAGGGCTGTGGTTTCTCCATGTTCACATTCACAACAAAACCCCTCTGGATTCACTTGGCTTTTTCTGATTTCCTAAGAGTGAGTGCAAGTGGGGCAGATGAGCCCCAGGGCTGAGCCTTTGTCAAGCAGCCAGAGTAGCAGGGGGGGAGTTTATTATTAGATTATTTTTTTAGGAGGGACACAAAGCAGCTGGAACCTTCCCACTGGATTAGATAACATAAAAAAATCTCTAATAAACCCCAGAAAACCATTGCCCTTTGCTGCTGACAATAGAACCTGTGCAGAACTGGCAAGGAAACAGCACCCGGAAAAGGAATTGCAGCAACCCCTGGTATGAAGGTGCTGGGATTATATCCAGCTAAAATGAGTCACCTCGTGCTGCTGCAGTGCTGTGCTCTGAGGAAACTCTCTTTGATAGAATCTTTCTTTAAAAGTCAGATCTTTCCTCTGGGAAAAGGCAAGTCTTGACTTAGGCTGACCTACCTTGTTTTTGGCTAGAAAAAGATCTTTTTCCTTGGCTGCCCCGTGACTTTCACTCACAACCTCCTGAGAACATTTTTAGAAATCATTATTTAAGTCATCCCAATCAGGCATCATGAATCCTGGTTCCAAAAAACGGTTTTATTGCCCTAAGCTGATAAAATTCCTATCCTTTCATTCAGATACATCTTCCTGGCTGTAACAAACGATGCTGAGGGCTCCGCAGGCCCCGGGGAGGTGCTCAAGTCTTGCTCACGTCCTTGCACTATCATCTGACAGCAATTTATGGTACTGCAGAGTTTGCCTTATTGAAACTGTTTGTGGGATGGAAATTTGCAGAGATTCTTTCACAAGGGGTGACTCTTTGCTCAGTGGTGATGTTTGGAGAAATCTCACTCACAATCCTTGAAGGCAGCAGGAATTTGGTGTGAGGAATTTCTCCACAAATCTTGAAGCAGAAAAATCTTGACTTAGTGATGCTCTGCAGATTCCTTGGACAAGCACATGTTAAAGAATTATTTTAGCTGCTGGCCTGCTGAATGCCCAAGATTTCACATAAGCTGGACCCAAATACAGCTAAGATATTGCAATAATTCAATTATGCCTCATACCATCATCACTTATTGCTCTGTGCAGAGGACAGACACTCCCTATGGATCTACCATCACCAGAGGGAACTGCTCCACTTGGAATAAACTACTTTACCCCTACTGCTTTGTGTGGAAAAGATATAGTTTAAGAGAAAATTGCAAATTTTTTCTTCCTTTTGATAATTGTTTTTAAATCACAATACATCATCAAATACCTGGCATTTGAATTACACTACTCAGAAACCTGCTTACGGGTAAATTTTAAATTTCTAATTATTGCCATTGGCTGTGTTTGTAAGGACCTGTGTCTGATGCCTAAAATTTCTCCACAAGCTGCCCAAAATGCTTTACACTTATGGCTGGAGCCATAAATATGCCAATATTAAACAAGAAATTCGTCAAAAAGTCAAGGCTGTTTCTCTTTTTTTTGTCTAAATGGGCCATCCAAAAGTGAACTTGGTAAGGCAGGAATTGCTCTGTAGTGGACAAAAAATGCTTCCATAAGTGAGGTCTCTCATGTTTTAGGTTTCACTGAACCCCAAATGGAAGGATAAAGTGGATAAGAATGGCAAAAATGATATCCTGGAATTGTCCTGTGACAACACAGCCCAGCCAGGGACTGCCAAGAAGATGCATATGCAGAAAAGGGGAGAAAAATATTCTTTCCAGTATTGCCAGGGGAGTTTTTCTTAACCTTGTAAAAAAATATACAATGCCTTGCCTAGCTTCCAACAGAGACTGGAGGTAGAAGCATGTGAGGAATGGAGATGTGTGGCAGGAAGAATTCATGGAAGAGTTGTATGCAGGATGAGTTAAATTCCATAAGTGTTATGGAACTGTGGAATGGAAAGTGTCCACTTTCATTTTGATGTGAGGACCGTGACCAGCTGTTGAATTTTGGTCCTGCAGGATTCTCACTTCTTCCATATACAATCCATGGATTGCAAGGCAGAGACCCTGTTTTTTTCCCAGATAAATGTCACAACTGTGTATCTGCAAAAATAAAGGCTAGTAAATAGTGTCTGAAGTAGCTATTAATCTTTGGAATTAGTTGCTCCAAGTCCAGATTGCAAGTATATGAAACAACAAAAAATGGAATTAATTTAGGGAGATTTATCGTGAGCAGTTGTTTCGCGGTGCTTTGGGTTTCAGCGAGAGCACAGATCAGTGAAATATCAGCACAAAGACATAAATTAAGTAGGAATACTCCAAGGAAAAATCTTGTTTATTCTGTGCAAGCAGCTGTGTCATTTGTCACCTCAGAGCACAGGAGTCAGGGCACGGGTGGGAGCTCCTGGATGTGCCTGAGAGGTGCAGATATTAATACTGAAACAAACCTGGGAGCTGTGTTTGTGGAAGGGATTGGAGGATCCTGCGCTGTCAGACAAAGCCCTCTGAGCAGTAAAAAACCAAGTCAGAGGTGGAACAGGTCGCAGTGTTATGGCAGTGATTCATCCCTCTCTGGATGGACTGAAGCTGTCTGAGTGTGCCTTTCACTAATTGCAGCACAGCTGCCGATTTCAGATGGTGCTTGGATGAGATCTGGGTGGAGGCGACAGTGACCTGCAGGTGCTGAGCTCTGCCAGCATTCAAAGGTGACACTTCTGTCCTTAGGGAGTCACTTTTCCATGGGCTGACCTGTGAGCTGCCCACAGTTACCATTAAATGAAGAGGAAAATGACCTCCTTGAAGGAAAAAGGCTAAATTCTGTTTTAAATGTGTGACTGTAGCTCTGGGGGAGAGGGGAGCTGTGAAATGGGGCAGAGCAGGTTACAGGGACCTGGAGCTGTGCTCCCTGCAGGGACAGCCTTCTCAGCAGCCAAGTGCAGGGTGAAGCCTCTGTAGCACAAAATGCTCTCCAGCCCAAATGCTCTCTCCCTGTCCCCTCCTGTGCCTGAAGCAGCCATGCCATGGGGCCACCTCAAACCCTGTCAGCCCCCAAAACCCCGCTCGCACCTGTGGGGATAATTGTATGGATCAAGCAGGGATAGGTTTACAAAAGGACAGCAATGCAGGGTCATTGCATCCCCACAGGGATCCCCTCTCAGGCTCCTGCTCCCAGAGCTCCTTTGGGAATCCCCAGACCGTGCAGAGGCAGGGCACTGGTGCTGTCACACTGGGATCCCGCACCCTCTACCTCTGCAGTTGTGAGGGAAGTGACCATCTCAGGTTTAGCTCTTCATTCCCTTTCCCTCCATAAGAGTAACCCCTGCTTCTACTTCCCAGCAAAATTCCCTGGCGTGAATTGAGCAGATTTTGTTACTAAGAACCTTTTCATAGCAGTAAAGATATAGAGAGGACAGCCCAAAGCACAGTTACTGCTGGAAAACCTTTAGGAACCTTAACTTTAAATAAATCAAATAGATTCCCTTGAATACTGAGCTTTTTAAGGCACATCTTGCTCTTTTTTCAGGTTTCCATCAACATATTCTGGCAATCTTCAAGATGAAATCCTTTGGCTTCGACCTGTGTGCAGCTACTGACACTTGAGCATGGATCAAAGTGAATTTCCACCACTTTCAGGCACAAGGAATAATTGGAAGATTTTTTTTTTTGTGTGTCCACAGGGTATAACACTCCTTTGCAGACCCATTTTAGATAAAAATTAAATCCAGTGCATCCAGCAAGGCTCCTCTCTGCTCAGCAGGGCTGCAGCCGGGGTGAAGTGAAGGCAAACAGGGCTTAGTGTCTGTATCTTGACAAGTTGTGTGGTTCTGCTCCTTCCTTCATTCAGGTGGAGGCTCTACAAGCTGCTGGAGGAGAAATTCAGGGGGAATGAGAAAATAAACAGCCCCCGAGCCCTGAGCAGCCCTCCCGATGTCTGTAAGAGTATATAAATGCAGATACACGTATTTATACACATGGATGTAACAGCTGCCTCGCTCTTCTAGCTCTCCTCCTGCACCTGCCTCTGTCTCCATCCCAGGCAGGATGCTGGGCTGCTTTCAGCCTGACTTCACGAGTCCTTTCCCATCCTGCAGGCACTGGATGTCCATGGAGATGTCCAAATCCCCACGTCCACTCCTTCCGTCCCTGCCATTGTCAGGCCCAGCCTGACTCATGTCCCCTTCCTTGCTTTCTCCGTGCTGGTGTAATTTCCAAACCACCTTCCTTCCCTATTCCACACCCCAATTTATATTTTCCCAGCGGTCACGTCTTTCCCCTCCTTCAAAACCGCTTTCAGCAAACCAGCGTCACCTCTGTTTAATGAGAGCCCCTGGATGTTTATCATGTCGTTAAATCATTTCCTTCAAGTGGCCTCAGATGAAGTTATCACTGTCAAAACGTGATGCAAACGCTCAGTAGGAAGCACACAAAGGGAGATCCCAGGCTCTTGGGAAGTTTGGGTGAACTGTTTGCAGAACTGTGCCGAGCCCACCCCTCCGAGACCTTTATTTCCCCCTGCGGCAGCTGTCATCTGATCCCACGCTTTGGCTCTGAATGGGGCTCTCGGAGGATGCCAGATGTTGGGAACAAAGGTCTAAAAATAATCTTTCCAAGTAATCTTCCCGTCCATCACTCAAGGAGAGCGTGAGCTTTGTGTGAACATGTGAGCTGAGAACCTGATCTAACTTAAAGAAGTTCAACAGCAGCTCCCGGCTTCTGCCTGTGGGCTCCTTTTTTTTTTTTTCTTCTTTTTTTTTTTCTTCTTTATTTTTTTTTTTCCTTCCCTTCCCCTTTTCCCTTCGCAGAAGCTGCGCAGGGAAAAGCGGCTCTCGGAGCGCTCAGCCCTCTCTCTTTCTCCCTCCCTTCCCTCCCTCCCTCCTTGCCAAGCCTCGGAACCTCCCGAATCCCGAAAGCCAGGGGCTCTTTATTCCATCTCTCCCTGGAAAAACCACCGGGTTGCAGGCTGCTGCCAGAGATGCGTTTCTGCAGGAAGATCTTGGCTGCAGCCTTGTGTGTCCTGGTTCTGCTGCCGGAGCCGGGCAGTGCCAGGACGCTCTGGAAACGCGCTCTGCTGAAAATGACCGAGAAATACGATGTGAGTAAGGCTGGGGGGATTTTTGGGGTGAGCTGGGGATGCTCGCAGGGAAAGGGGAGTTTTCCTTACGCGTTTTGGGATCAGGAGTGTTTGGATCGGCGGGCTGGCTCTGTGGAACAGGGATTCCTGAAGTTTTCTCAGGCTGCACGGAACTTTTGCCACCTAGCTGCTGCAAGGGGAAGCTTGGGAAGCGCTCGGAGCAGGGAGAGAGCTTTGGGATGGCACCGCTTTCCCTGGAAACTCCCCAGGGCAGCCAGGGAAAAGTGACCGGGGGGATGGGGGATGCAAACCCCGCCGGTCCGGGGATGGGTTTAGTGGAAGATAATGGGATTTATTGCTTGGAGCAGGGAGGGTGCCCTGCCCAGCCCCTGTGCTGCCTTTTGGGGTAACTTTGGGGGAATGGTGGCATTGCCCACGGGTTCTGTAAGGCACAGAGCCCTCACCCCACAGTGCCAGAGCTGCGTGCCCATCACCCTGCAGGGTGGCGATCCCAGAGATCCATCCCCATGGCTGTGCCGTGCCTGGCACATTCCCTGCGGGCAGAGCTGCTGCCCACGCTCGGTGGCACCATCTGTGCCTGCTCTTGGCAGCCTTCAGGCTCCACAGGGCACTGAGCACAGCCAACACTTCCAAATCCACATGGATCACCGGTGCTGGAACTGGAACTGGCACAGCCACGACTTACTGGGAGCCATGGGGATGGTGCTGGGTCTTGTCCTGGGCCAAACGGCTGCTAGAGATGGCCACAGAGGAAATGGAAATTGGAAAAAGAAGGGAAATAATTTGATAGCTTGAATTTTAGTACCTGTTGTTTAAAAAAGAAAAAAAAAAAAGTTATAAATTTGAATTTTTTACTTGATCCATTCAAGTTCCCTTAGAAACCAGCACTGAGACAAGGTTTCTGCCCCTTGAGTTGCTTGGGTGCAAGCCCCCAAACAAGTCTGATTGCATCTTCCAACCATTGCATGTGTGTAAACAGCACCTTGGTATCACAGGCTTATTCCTCAATCTGTTTTCTGCAGCTTTTAATTCAAAAAGAATGTTTTTATGCCCATGACTTTTCAAGTGATGTTTGTGCATGGCAATGTTTGGTTTGTGCAATTGCTGACTCAGAATTGTGACACACATCCCTTGCCCCCGATGAGCAAACTGAAATTCTGTCTTGTCTCCTTGAAATTTTGCAGAAAAACATTGTGCTGGTATTTGAAAGGCACCTCAAGCTTTTGTAAGGAACCTTCATTATAGTCTTTCTTGGGATAGGGTATCTGGTTTGCACTTGAATTGGAAAATGGTGATATAAAGAGCTGCATTTCTTGCAAAATCACTCACTGGAAAGTGCATTTATATGGATGTTCTTCTGCCATATTTCAGTGTGCAGCTCAGATTTAATAGGATCTGTGAGGTGAATGACCCAGGGAGATGGGACAGGAGCAGAACAGGAATTTACATGTTGATCTTCAGATAAGGAGCCCTGCCGAGGCAGAGCCGGCTCCCCTGAGGATATATCCTCTTCTTTCAACCTGCACTTCTTCAAAGGGCTGTTTTTCCTGGCAGCCCTGAATCCAGGTGCTACTGATCTGGCAAGCTCAGCTAGAATTGTTCATATTGACAGAAACATTGATCCAGGGAAAACAGAAAATGCTTTTCTTTCTCCTCCTCAAAACCTTGTAGGGGGAAAGCGTCTGCTCTCCATCCTCTTCTGCAGCAGAGTCTGTTCTGGCAGCCCCTCTGGTTTCTCAGAGGATGTTTTCTTTCCTACCAAATGCTGTGTGTTCCCTGCAGTTGGAAAACCAGAGTCTGGGGGCAGAGCAGCTGATTTGTGAGTCACTTGGATAGAGGGATGACAGATGGAGGTGCTTATGGCCACATGCAGCCACATGGGGCATGGGCCACAGACATCCCTGTGGGACCCCAAAGCACACGGGGGAGGGAGCTTTGTGTGGTCTGAAAACCTGAGGCTACAGCAGGAGGAGTGTGTCCAGAAAAATGTTGGATGCAGAATGACGGGCAGGTGTGAGGATGAGGAGCTGGCTTGGGGTCTCATTCACCCTGAGGAAGGGTGTTGGTTGGCAAGGAGGGGTCAAGTGTGAATGGAGAAGGGAGAAACAGGGATTGCAATGAGGAGAAAAACCTGGCAGCCACAGTAGGATGCAGGAGCTGGGCTTTAAAAAAAATCCATATATTTTACAGAGGGACACTTATCAAGTTTAGTGATATGCAGCGGATGTTCTGCAGCCCCCATGTTCCCAAGGGGCAGAGGGAGGGAGCTACCTGGGAGTGGGCTTCAGTTCATTATAAAACACCCATCGTGTCTGTTGGAAAAAACTGGGCCAGTCTGGATTTCATTCCACTGTCAACTACAGCAAGTGTTTTAGAAAAATCACAGCCTTCTTTTAAAGTTTTCCAAAAATGAAGAATTCCTCACAGCTGCTGTAATGCTCTTCCAACAGTTTATTTACCCTCCAGCAGCCATCTGTCATAAATCAGCCCTGGGGGACCCTTTTTGTACCCCAGGAGATTTCTGGCCCCCAAATTCTCCGAGTAACCTGTGAGCAGAGCAGCCTCAGCCTCTCCTTTGGAACCTGCACACAGACAAACGTTTTTCTGTATTTCCTGCTTTCCAGCCTTTTAATCATTATTGTGCATCTTCCTGGAGCCCACCCCAGCTCTGCAGCATTCTTCCAGCTGCAAACAGCAGAACTAAAGAGACAAATCCCGAGCCAGCAATAGGAGAATATTATTCCCATTGCTTTGGTCTTGTCCTTCAGATTGTTTAAGCTGCACTCAGTCTGTTTGCCACTTTGATCATCACTGAAGGGTGATTTTCCAGCTCTTTAATGGAAATACTGGAGGATTAAAAATTCCCCCTGAGTGTGTATTTTTTCAGAGGGAAGGTGTTTTATGGCCACTCTTTGGGAATACCTGCCAGGGCCTGAGCTGCTGGTGGGAGGCTGAAATAAACCTCACGTGTCATCTCGAGGGCTCCATGCAGAAAATGAATTAGCAGAGAGCTGTGCTTTGACACAAGCTCAGGGACCAGTTCCAGGCACAAATAACAGAATAGATCTGGGAATTTTGGGAGACAGCTGCATCTCTCAGTTACTGTTGAAATTATGGCTGAGACTGAGTGATCCCATCCAGATTTTTCCTCATTTTTGTTGATTTCCAGGGTTCCTCAGCTGAACTTTGAGTTTATCCCTTTACTTTGTTTCTGGCTATCTCTAAGGCAGATATTGTCATTAAATTATTTAATAAGTCTCCCTGGGCAACAGAAATTTACCTCCTGCACTGAAAAATGTTAAAGAATTTTTTACTGTCGCCACAATCTGCAAAGATAATAAATCAGAACCAAACTGTGAATATTGAGAGAGCTTTTAAAAACCCTTGTAACCCAAACCTGGAGATGTCCTTAACCAGGTTATTTTGGGGAATGAGGGAATCTTGTTTTATGCACACATAAACAAGGGGGTTTCATTAAACCAAATATGCAAAATGTTATTATTTTGAAAGAAATGAGTTGTGAGCAATAGGTGACCAGAGAAAATGGTCAGGGAGGTCATGAGGTACAAAGTTATTTGGCTACAACTGTTATATTGTTCCCCAACGGAAATTTCATTCATGGAGCCAGCTGTTCATTGCAACTTTGGCTTCTTGGTTTCTGAATCATCTGTGAAGCAACTGCAGTAATTGTTTGGTGTTTTTTTCATGGATTCATTATTTGCCATTATTATTTTGGTCACACTTCCGTCTGCAGATGACCTTTCGAATAGAATAGTAAACTGTGACCTTCCAGGATGAACACTCCCTCCAACAAGGAGACCTATTCAGTGTTTTGAGCTGCACAGATTTATTGTTCAGTGCTCCCTTATATCCAAAAATTATACATGGGCTGATAATTTTCTCTATTTAAAATCCAGCAACATCCACCCCTCCCCCCCCCCAAAAAAAAAAAGTGTATTTTCAATATTTTCCATTTTAAAACATGTTTCAGATTTGGAGTGTTTGCAGCTTTTGAGGAATGGACTAACAATGAGAACTTGCACCTTCAGCATGGAAAATATCATCAAAATTGGGTTTTTCCGAATCTTTTTAGTGGTTTAAACTACCTATCAGTTCACAGGAAAACAATGTCATGAAAGAGTTTTAAAGGAAAAAGTAGAAATTATTTCTTGACATTGGGAACAGGGCAGGAGACTGTCATTAGTGAAAATATTAGGAATTCTCTGTCTCTCTAACACTCCATCTCTGTGCAATGGCCTCTCCTTGGCCAGTTTTTGGGAGAATCCATGTGGGAACAGGCTGTTGCAAAGGCACAGATGCTCCAAAGGAGCCACTGGGAGTTACAGCAATAAGGATGGAGCAGGATATAGAGAGGGATGTTAATCTCACCTCAAATTTCTCCAGAGTCTGGTGGTGAAATTTCCTAGAAACCCCTGGGGGGCTGTTGCACCATGTTTATTCTTGGAATATCAATCCAAGTTTCTCATCACTGATTTTGTAACACACCAGTGACTGGGCCAAGTGTATATTTACACACATTTTTGTGTATTTATGACCCTTACCAGCCTGCTCGTGAGGCCATGGCAATGCCCACTTCACATTTCTGGCTTGATGCTGATCTCTCTTGAAAGTGCAAACCCAGAAACCACCTTTTGATTTCGTTAGAGCTTATAAATAGTTGTTAAAAAATCTGAGACTTGAGTGCCCTGAGCTCGTTCTGCTGCCCTGGGGAGCTGAACTGCAGCCCAGAGGTGAGTGGTTGAGCCACAGGTGAGAAAGGAGTGGGCTGGGGTGATTCACTTCTCTGCTGGAGGGATTTGGCTTCTTGCTAAAACTGCACCAGAAAAATATCTGAATGGTGCCTCATAAATGTTCCTGTGCCTGTTAATCCACTTTACCCCTCTCTTGTCCTGTCAGTGTGCTATGAGCAGCTCAGCTTCTTTCTGCTGCAGTGAAACGTGGCCTCATTTTCTTGGGGCTGAAGCTGGAATCAGTCTCACAGATCTCACCCAGAATGTCCCATGATTTAAAAATGGTGTCTAATTTAAGAACCCAGAGCTCTGTGGATAAACTTGAAAGGCTCCCCTATAAATTCTGGTCCAGACAAGGCGATGGAGACGGAAGGATCCCACTGAGGAGAGAGGTGCTACTAGGGACATTTGGTCCATAACCCAAAACAACACAGTGCCCTCATTTCCACTGCTTCCCTATCAGTGTTTTGGTGTCCTCATGATAAGGATGCCTGGAGTCTTCTCTGTGTTTCCCAGACAAGCATAAAAGACTTTAAAGGATTTTTATTTTTTTCTTCTCAATTATAAAACAAGTTCCACACAATAATTTAGTGATTGATTGGTGTTTCCAAAGTGATGCCTTGAGAGGCTACCTGGAACAGAAGCTAAACAACATTAAAGGAATAAAGTAGGTATTTATTAAAAGGCCTTCAAGGTATCAAATGATACACCTTGGGCAGTACAAGAGCCTGGCTACGGCTCTGCCCAAGATGGACAACAGATCATGAATTTTCACACTTTTGTAAGTTTTTGTCCATTTCCACATTTGGGTTAATTGTCCAATTACAGCTTCAGGTGATGCAGTCCCATCCTTCCACACTGTTCTCCTCAATTCGTTGTTGTTTGCACTTTTTGGGCCTGAAGCTGCAACCATGTCCTTGGTTCTGGGGCTGGAAAAAGATTGTTGTGTCTGCCTGAGCTGTGAGGAGAACTTGCCAATGCTTGATATGGAGTTCAGAGTTATACGCTAATGCAGTACAAAATCTGGAAAATATAAAAGCTAAAACTTTAGGCATCAAAAGCGCTTCGCTGAGGGGACCATAGAGTGCTGGGGGAGCTGGACAGTTAATCCTCCTCTCTGGCGAATACTCAAAAACCGCTTTGAAACCCCTTTTCCCGCTTCATCTGGCGGGATGTTCCGTACTCACGCCAAACCTGATTTCCTTTTCTTCTCTTTGCAAAGGATTATGAGTACCCTCTTCATTCTCACAGTTCCCACTACCAGAAGAACGACCGGTGCCCGCCGCCGCCGCAGAGCCTCCCTGAGCGCGCCTGCGAGGTGCCCAGCTGCCGCTCCGACTCCGAGTGCGAGCGCCACAAGCGCTGCTGCTACAACGGCTGCATCTACGCCTGCCTCGAGTCCGTGCAGCCCCCACCAGGTACAGGGGCAAAGCAGGACACAGAGGGGCTTGCAGAGATGGGGGTGGTAGTGGTGATCTCCACACCCATTGGGTGTGGGGTGCAGTGGGAGCTGGGGGTGCAGTTTGGTTCCACGCTTTTGGTTTCTGGGGGTGATGAGTGACAAAGGTGTCCGAGGCAAACTCCCACTTGGTCAAATTGTAGAAGTCACTCGAGGCCAGTTCTTTTCCTGGGGTGGCATTTTCCATGCCCCATCCCTGCAATCACTGTGTCCAGTGGTTGGATGAGTCTTGGAGCAGCATGGGATAGTGGAAGGTATCCCTGCCCATGGCAGGGCATTGGAATGAGATGATCTTTCCAACCCAAACCAATCTGTGTTCCTGTGTTTCTATATCCAGGAAAAGAGACAATCCCAGCCTGAACTAGTGCTGGCAGAAGTGAGGCAGCCACCTCACCATTCCCTGCCATGGGAATGAGAATGGGAAGCAGCAGCTGCTTGGGCCTCTAGGACACCAGGTTCTTGTGGCCCCTGGATAACATCCATGTCTCTCTTCCCACCAGGAGAACAAGAGCTAAATATAAGTCAAAATCAGATAATCCATCAGGCAGCCTCTTCCCGGGCCCTTAGAGGAAATCCATGACGTTATAACTCTGTGCCCTGTGGCTGCTACATCTTGACACTACAGTCTCTTGTTTCTGTCTTCTGCAGTCTTGGACTGGCTGGTTCAGCCCAAACCCCGCTGGCTGGGAGGCAATGGGTGGCTTTTGGATGGCCCAGAGGAAGTCTTACAAGGTACACGACATTTCTCTGTCTTCTCTGTAATATCTTTAATCACACAAAGGTCCTGCAGAATAAATCCCTCATACAGAGCTTGCCTGGGATGTTGGGCTGCTGGGACTGCTGGTATTTGTCTGGAGTTTCCACAGGAATAACTCTGTGTGGTGCTGGGGGCCGCTATCTGGTGCAGTAAATAAATTACTTTTTATGGATATGGATTACCCAGCAGAGCAGTAGGAATGCTGCAGGGGACCGGGCTTGTACCCATTCTTCAAATAATTAGAGATATATCTTCCTCTTAGAAAAAGGCTTTGTGATCATACACATAATTTTCTGCCAGCTTCCTGATAGACCGTGGGTGGACTTGGAACAGGAATCCTTTAATCCAGAGTGGCCTCATCACCCAGATGCCTTGGGCTAGGGCTGTGGCCCTTGGATCTGAAGGTGCTTTGGACAGGAGTCCTGGCAAACTGCTGCAGAGCTGTGTCAAGCTGATGTGAACCTGAGGCATCTGAGTTTGGAGACTGATAATGAGGTTGAGCTTCTCAGGTTCATTCCATAGGGAAAGGGTTTTTAGTTAATTTTTTCCAGTACCTAAAATTGAAATAAGGAGGGAGTGGGGAGGTGGGAAGAGAAGTTTTCTTCTATGAGGCATTCCCAGATGCCACCTGAAGATTTTGAGTTTTTCATGGAAATGTTAACCCATCTTTTGATCAGCTTTAGTCAGATCCAGGTAGTGCCAATAAATTCCCCTCTTTGTTCTTACGCAGATGGTTGTAGACTCGCTGAGCCTCAACTCTCATCTATTATAGAAACTCCAAGTTCTTGAAGAGAAAATTCTGCCTCCAGCTCATTGAAGCTGCACAGCTAGAAATAAGATAAAATAGGTTCCTCTTCATCCATCCTTGTCATGCTTATATTATTTGTTCTTATCTGAACACCTTCTTCTCAGCTTGAGGGAGTAATTAGGGAAGTAAGAACCATCAGTCATGACATGAGAATTACAGCAGAGGTCCCTGAAATTAAAAATGAGAGGGTGGAGTGGCCCTGCAGAGTCGGTACATGTAATGGCCACAAACACTGCCCGAGTCCTGCTTCACCTTCCCGTTCTGAGCTGCACTTGCTGCCCATCCTGGGTCAAAGTGACGAAACCTCAGTGAGTCACACCTGAGGTTTGGATTCAGCAGCAGGTCCATGGGTGTGGAGCAGAGAACAGAGCAGCACACTGCCAGCGTCCTGCTCACGTTCCCAGACTCCTCACCTGGCCCAGAGCCTGCCTGGGACACATTTATCTCTGCTCGGAGGGAGCGGCCCCATGGAGGGATCATCCTGCAGGGTGGGCAATGGAGATGTCTTTTTGGGCTACCTACAAACAGAAGGCAGACAGAGTTAAGGGAGTAAAAACTGGATATATTTATTGAAGGGCCTTCAGGTATATTTTGGGCAGATGAAGCTCCCCCACAGGCTGCACCCAAAAATGGATGGATGGGTCACGGGTTTTCATATCTTTATAAGTTTGGTCCATTTGCATATTGGGGGTTCATCTTCCAATTCCAGCTGCAGGTAATGAAGTCATTTATCCCAAGTTTGCTCCCACACAATTCACTTTTGTTTCCATCTCTGGAGGCCTGAGGCAGCGAGGTGTCCTCGATTCCCAGGCCTGGAGAGGAATTGCTGTGTCTGACCAAAATGTGAAAGCAGCAGCTCACAGTCTGTGTGTTTAGAGTTATACACTGCAGAGCTGCAGGATTACAAATACATGAGAAATAGCCACGCTAGAGTGCTGAGGGATCAGTGGCAGGCAGTGTTCATGGCCCAGCTAGCGCAGGGCCCGGGCCCGGCTGTGGGGAGGCTCCGTGCAGGGCCCGGGCCCGGCTGTGGGGAGGCTCCGTGCAGGGACCGGGCCCGGCTGT